GTTCAAAATTTAAGGTAATATTACAAACACTGTAGAACTAAACAAAAATCTGTTACATGGAAGAACAATATGCATGTTCTTTTCTTGTTACTTGCTTTCCTACAACACATAGTGGACTCATATTATCAAGGTATTAGATACCTGTATCAACTCTAAAATGCAGAGCCTGGAAGAGGTCTGTATCACAACAGTATTTAAGTCACACAATTGTATTTATTTTTAACACATACCTTTACTGCTGGGCCAGGAGCAACATCATCCATTACATGTGCACAAATATTAATGACCTTCAGCAGATGAGAAAAGAGCTGTTCTACTGAAGTAACAAGAGTTCGATCTGCCAGAGCCGGCCAGGGTTCCTCCTGCTTTGCAGCACCTTGGTTTGAATCTTCTTCAGCACTCCAGGGGTTCTTTAAGCACTTGGGAGCACTTGCTGCAACAGGAATCACATTAAAGAAAAAGATGATAAAAACCTGGAATTAAGTATTAGAAAATTTTAGAAGGATATCATCTCTATATGAACAGGAATTCAAATAGGGAAAAGTGAGCCTATATTTTCAAAGCCAGCAGTAGGTGCACAGTTTTAAACAACAACAAAGAATGTTAATTCCTTGTACCCAGCCTGTACTAAGCATACTGCACATTCCCTTTGGCAACTAGGAGGCAGTATCTTTTCAATACTCCTGGGTGCAAGAAGTTCCTTCTTTATTTCTTCTGCTGAATCTTGCAAGTATTTTGTTGCATGTAATCAGAATAGGGTGAAATATGGGCCTTCCGATGCTGATGGTAAAAATATCAGGACAATCCTACTTCTCTTGTTCTGCCTTACCTGCAAGCAAGTTTCCAGTCAAAATCAAAGCATCCTGATGGGCAGAGAGGTCCAGTGGGAACCATGCTGATGAAAGGAGAGACAGGACCATGCCAGCCATTCCAATGGTGCAGCCTTTCTGAGCTTCATCTGAAGGACTTGGCTGGGAAACACTGGAAGTTTAATTTTGGAATGTCATGACTTTTCTTCCCCCCTTTTGGTAAGTTTAAATTCTTAAGAAAACTAACAGTCAAGTAGACCGCTAATCTAAAAAAAAAAACCAAATCAGTACTACAGAATACACATTTAACACTCAAGTAGGACTTAAAAACAATTTGCAGCAGAGACCTGACAATACTTCGCATTCTTGAAGAGCCGTTACTTTTTTTTAAAATAGCAAATATCAAAGCTGCTAGTGACATCTACTGATAAATTGAAGAATGCTGTATTTAATTGCTAGTCAGTATGGTCCTGAACTACCTCCAGTTAAAAGTCTCACACATATGCAAGGTAGGGATGGGAGAGAAGCTGTAGTATTGCAATGTAAACAAGATACTGTTTTAAAGTGACAAGAATTTAAACAAACAATTGTAATCCATCAAATCATCTAGATTTATGGGTGGACTCTATCCAAGATTGTAGTTTGCTGCTGCATTCCATATTTTCCTTTACAATAATTTTAAAATCAGATTTTCTCACACAACTCAAGTTTCAAAAAGAGCAGTTAGAGATCACCAAAAGATGTTTGTCACAATACTATGTCAATTACACACATCATTTCAAAGCTGTAAGACCTGCACAACACTACTAACTGCCTTTCTGGAAAAGACTTTATGCAACCTCTAAATAAAGGTATTCTTTCAGAAGTTTTTTTAATTAAAAAAATATCTTCTAATGTAGTCACTCTGGTCTAATACAGCTACAGCAATTTCAGAAAATAAAATTTACACTAAGTGTAGCTATTATTTTGACAAAGGTACACAGGTAATTACAGTGCCTTCTTTTTTTTAAAAAAAGTTTTCATATGCAAGTGTTGCTTACTTTACATACAGTTAGAAACCCATGAATTAATCCATGCTGAGTTGTACAGAGTTGGAAAGCAGCAGTTCCAATAGCTTCTTAATCATAAGAATGACAATACTTAAGACAGAAAAGAATTTTTGCAAAATTTTCATGTTGTTATTCTTATTACCCAGAATGATGTTTGTATCATTCCATAAAAATAAAATTACAAGCCAAATTAGTATGAACATGGGCCGAAAATTTGTAAAGAAGGAATTAGAGGAAAGGGCAAAGGCTATGTCATTGCATCACTGATGATTATTAGATGCATCTTAAAGACAGCATTTTTTAAGCTGGGAAGAGCAGAAGACACATTGTTGCCATTCTGCATTCATTTTGTTTTCCAGCTAAGTACTGCTCACATCCTAACCTACTTCATTTGTTAAAACCAAATGACCTATAGCTCAAAAGACATCTTTTAGAATGCATATGCAGAGCACGCCACACTTATGGCTGGCAAGGGAAGAAAGGGCATGTCGACAATAAAAGCTGCTGGGGGAGGGTTGGGTTTTTTTTTGTTGTTAGGTTTTTGTTTTGTTTTTAAAATAAGAGAAAGTTTTGCAATAGAGTTTCAGGATACCAGAAGAGTAAAGTAAGAGTAGAGACAATGACAGCAATGAAGAAAATCAACACAAATGATGTTATATCTATTTAAAAACTAAACAGTTCTACACATGCACATCTTCAGTAGCTAGTTTTACAGCTCACGTGGCACAGCACATTGATAATCAGAAACAAGATCAAAGCTTTGGAGTTGCCAACTGCACAGCTACATTCTGAAAAAACTCTTCAGAATGTAAGTACTTTGAGGCTATTATATATTACCTACAAAACACTTTATTATAGATATTTCATTTGCTGTTCCCATTCAGTGTGCCAAATAAGAACAATTTAAATGCATCTGACACTTTTATAGTTATAAGAGCAATTATGAACCAGCTTCTTTTACCCACTGTTTTTCCAACATAAACATGAGATCAAGGTGAAAATGATGTCCTGATTTTAAAGAGATACTACAAGACAATATCCTGAAGATGAATATTAGTTCAAAAGCATGGGAAGTTTTCTCCTATTACTTATTTTGATAGACACTGATCCTATGTATCTTTTTATATAGTAGTTGCAGCCAATCCTTGTGATATACGCTGTGGTTCCAAAGATGACAAAGTGCTGACACTTAATATCATGACAACCTGATGTTACATTCTTCTGTATAAAGTTCTTAAATAACTGCTAAGATACACTTAACAGCATATATCTAAACCAGGACTTCTGATACCTAAACAAGCGTATTTTCATTTCACAAACATGACCTTTAGAAGCTTGAATAACAGATGCGGGAACATACCCACAGTGCCATCCCATGCTCCAGGTGCAGACTGGAAATGTTGTGGAGAGAAGACACAAAGCTTCACAGCAGCCAAACTGAAAAAGTTAAAACCAAGAATTAAATCAGTTTCATCACTGGAAGAGTTAGCAACAACAACAAGGTATCTTAAGAGTGAGAATTAAATATATTACTAATGCCATTGCCACAGTACCAAAGCTGCAGATACCAATATAGCCAGGAACTAATTAAAAATAAAGCAAGCAAAAAAGAGAAAAGAAAGAGTCAGCCATTATAGCAACTAAGAAAACTCACTGTAAGTGCTCTTGTAGTGGATATTGTCAATGCATGGGAAATTGCTGCAATAACCCTTGAGAGATTGTTTTCCATAGTGACATCTGTTGGACTTTGCAGCATATTGTAACCTCTATATGTTCTGAAATACAAATATCTATACCATTAAAACACGTACTTAAAAAAAGAAACACCTCAAGCACAAATGATTATGGCTTAAGTTACTATTACATATTTTATAGGCCACTTATAAAATACAAAATTGGAGAACACTCTAAATACCACCTTAGTATATTTTGATATTTTTGCTTCTGTACTAGCAAAAGCAATTTAGTTTATAAATCAAATCTCTTTGTTAGCAAACAGAAACAGTAGATCAACTCTCAACACCTAACTAGGTGCTCTAGAAACCACCACCAATTTAGCATTAGTCATTGCTTTTGCTCAAATCCATCTAACATTTTTGCATGTTGACAAACTTTGGATTATTGCTGTAAAAAGATTACTGATGTAGAAAAATAGTAATTTTGTACTTGAAATAACACAGTGTCCACGAAGTTCTATTGTTTCTCTACTACAGCATATAAATCTTCAGTGACATGATTGAGATCATGTATGGAAAAGGTACATAATTTAAAACCTTGTATGACAAATTGATAGAAGCAAAGAGTCCCCATAAATATATACAACTCATACTGTCTATAAGACATCTAAACAGAGGAGTTTAGGAAATTATAGTTCGCAGTAGAAATACAGCGACAAGATGACACTACCAAAATTAGAAGGCAGTACAGACTTCTGCAACCACAATCATTAAACAGGATGTGAACAGTTATAAATCCTGATCAACGTACCTGAAGAACAATAATGTATACATATGATTAGCTTGCAAAGCTGCACTCACTTGTGTGCAATTTAATAAACAAATAGGGTGACCTCACAATGAAAAGAAAGTTTATCACAGAACAGTGACTCCCTACCATCAATGTGTGAGCACATCACTAGTAGCTCACACACCAGTTTGTCCTTTAAATACCAGCATTTCTGTGGAGCCTAGAACTACCACAGATGCTCCTACAGGTTGGAAAAAGAATTCATAAGCACATGGATTTGCAGGACTTAAATATGATTCTAGGCATTATGAATTGAAATTTGGGTCCGCGTTCCTTTTAAAGAAAGACAAGTCACATAACATACCTGGTGATAGTGCTCACCGCAAAGTGAGATGGGGGCTGCGTTTCATGCATTAGTAGTTTCAGGTAGACACTGCTTTGGTCTCTTGCTACTGCCACAACTGGATCAGCCTGTCCTTGATCACAGTTATAAAACAGCTTTGGAACAAGCCTTAATGATAATTGTCAAAAAGGAAAAGTATTATTCAGAAGTTATTTAATATACAATTTAAAGTACATTTAAAATACATTTCATATACAATTCAGAATGCTGCATACACTAGACATATCAGATTGTAAATAAAAACCATTACTAAAACTCATATTGTTAAGCTGAATTCACTTTTACACAACTGCTCTTCATTATAATCAAGGAGCTCAAATCAGAACAAAGGAACTGCTCTAGACACATGGTAGCTAAAAATATTTTATAGACATACATACCTATACACACTAAAATGACCACTTTGCTAAAGAGTTTCTCAGTGTTCTCCTATCTCCCCAGATATTTTCCCCATGGATATCTGTGTCAACTGAAAACTAATTTCTACCCAAAAAGGAAAATTTTTCACCACCTGATTTCTAAGCAGCAAAACTTAAACATACAGTAAGATCCAGTCTTCTTGAACAACAAACATTTTCAACTTAGACAACAGTGAAAAACTACAGTGCACATTTTTTTAGAAGTTCACTGACAGTACATCCAATGAATGCCCATACTGGACGTTTCAAGGGGCTTCTGCAAGCTTGTAGCAGATTTCTTGGGCAGTTAAGTCTTTTCCAACTTTAACACACATGCTGTCACTAAGTCAACATGAAGATACAGAAAAACTCCAACTTGTTAGTTGCTGAATAAAAGCAACAAATACTAACTATGACACAACAGTTAATGATTTCTCTGCTGAGCTGTTTCTACAATACAAATGCTTTTAAGTGGCAGAATTTTTAAGGTTTCATTGTCCTTTATTTGCTATTAGGAATGGATGGCAATTAATAGTCTGAAAAACTAGGAAAGAGACTCCTCTGACAACAAAATATTCCAGGAATTCAGTATTAGATGCTCCCAACTTCTTTAGACATAAAACTTAAGTCCTTGAATTCTAATAAATAAACTACCAACTAATCCTTACTGTTTGGTGCATTTATCTGGACAGCAATTGTAACCGTAGTAGGTTACAGCAAACAGCTGCTTTTTAAACAAGATTAGCTACTTTACTATAATCAGAGAGCATGGAAGTTTTAAGATACACTACTTATAACCAACAACTTGGTTGGAGTTAGGACAACTCGGTAGAAGAGCAACATTTTAAATCCAACTACTGTCAGGAGACTGAACAAATCACTTCAGCATGCAGAAAACTAACGACCAAGTTGAAACTGAAAGTGACCCTCAGAATGTAATACAGTTAAATGTAATTGTAGTGCTAATGAAAAGCAAAGCACAATTGCCTGATGATTCAGAATGATGCATGCTCCAGGTACCACAAAGCTGCATTTGTCTCCTGTCCCTCATTTAAACAAAAATATGAAAAACCCACTAAGGGATTATTTTAATTATAGGTACACAGTAACATGTCAGTATCTTTCTAAACTCCTTTTCTTTTTTAAAAAATAAAACAAACATATACCTCATTAATGAAGCTGCAGCTACATGTCTCACTCTTGGATCTTCATCTCCAAGCAGACATATTACAACATTATTAAGCACTCTCTCCTGAAGTTTTAGTAGCTAGAAAATAAGTTAGCACAGTAAAGTTCAAACATTTTCATCATTTCACCAGATTAAGATAGTTAACAAGTGAGATTTCATCTGTCATACAAGTCTAAGACAATCTTTACCTTAACATTACCAAATGCCCTATTTAAATACATAAATGCCAACATTTTTTAGTTTAAAAAAAACCACACACACACCAGAGAACACTAAGATATCTGAATCTCAGTAGTAAAGTATCTTTCCAATTGTAACAAGTCTCAGAACATGAGCCTACTTACACAAAACATACTTACAACAATTATCAGTGTTGACAGAATTTAAACATAAAGTGCTGAAATTGCACTGGTACCTTAATCAAGAAACACAATATACTGATTCAATAATTTACTTACACCAGTATAATGATGAACACCTCTGTGCAAGCTCTCAGTTTTTCCTTCCAAGAAGCTGACTAGCCTATGGTAAAATAGAATTTAGAGTACATTAGTTTGCTCTGAGGGTTCTTTTTATTTGCTTATTTTTTAAAAACATCACTGCAGGGAAAATGTAAAAAGTAAACACACTTTTAGAAGAGGTAAGCAATTGCTAAACTACTATCTGGCTACTGTAACAGAAGAATTACTTTTCTTTAGTTAAAAAACATTATTTACACATTGCGATTGTAATTGTATTTTTTTCTCCCCATGCACGTAAAAATCAGACTGTTTTGAAAAGATGGTAAGATATTCCAAATATCACTATTCAGAAAGAGTCCAATTTTGTATAACTAAAGATAACTTGAAGAACTTTTATATCAACACCTTTTGTCTTTCAGCTTGGAAGAACCTGTAGAGAATGAGAGAACGCAAGAAAAGGAAGTCATTCATTTCAGTGTAACAGAAACTGAGCAACAGAAGAGAGCTGACAATAATGGAGAACAAGTCAGGGACTTTTTCTTTAAGAAAAACCCACGCAACTGGAAATCAAGTTAGTGTCCAGATTATATGGTCTCTGATCACAGATTTACAGAACACTTGATACAGACCACTGAACTAGAAACTCTATACAGTGTTACTAGGATCAGGCTAGGTAGTGAAGACAATAGTAACTTGACAAAGGAATTCATACAGTCCTTGTATGAATGATTGGTCTGAATTAGTTTTATGAAACTCGTTAGTATTTCAGAAGAAACAGCTCCATTTTGATTCCAGTTTCCTATACACAGCATCTTTGCACTGCAGCTACAACACCCACAGAAAAATGTGAACACTTACCGAAAATCTACCTCTGCAAGCGTTTCCAAAAGTTCCGTCCTTACTAGCCAATATGAGCTGTTCTTCAGTGTAAGGAGGTCAACAATCAGTTGTAAACCTAGTTCACTGTAACTGCTACTACATAAGCTCATGATGCAATGCTGAGAAGAAATAAAAAACTTTCAGGTATATTACAGAAAAGGTTCTCTGAATCAAAGTATGTAAGTGATCATAAAAATCTGTTTTATTTAGAATACTAAAAAAAAGTTATTGCTTAAGAGCTAGGAGGAAGTACCAGAGCTAGGTACTTTGCAAGGCTAGGACACTAGCTCCACGTGAACTGCTAAAACCTGCTGCTGAATTTAAGTGCTGGAGAGGAACAAACGCCTCAGGGACCAGATGACAATCCTCCAAAGAGTAAGGTCTAAAACTCACAGGGCTTAAACACCACAAGCACTATACTCTTATCTGTTCAAAAAGAGTCTCTCCTAATTTCCACAGGGTATTTTTAGACACCTGGTTCTGATTTCCAGAAGTTTTTGAAAAAGTCATACCTCCTCATTTTAATGACTGTTCAACTATATGCAGAATGTGTAATCTTTGGAAAAAGTTATAAAAATCTATACTACACTTCTATGTCTTAACTACATGAAAATGTACTTTCTTCTTTGGAGATTAACAACCCAAAATGCTTTTGAACATTTATGCCGAAAGTTATGAAGTCAGGCTACATTATATACTGAGAGAAAGAAAAAGACAAAATTGGACAGTATAAGTTGCCTAAACTGAACACTTCTAGTGAAGTCTTCTAAAAAGCCATAATTATAAGTGTAATCATACATGAAACCACTATATACAAACAATAAGATCATGGAACAGAAAGTTAAAAAGATAGCATCATTTAACAAACTGGATTTCCTTCCCTCAGCTGCATCACAGACCCCTCCTCTTAACACATGAAATCATACTTTCCATATATTAACTATCTGCATTTTACTAAAGTTAGACTTTGCCTCACTGACCCATAAGCTGCAATAGAGTCAGACACCCTGTGCCTCTCCCCAAGGAATTAATTTCCCTTGCCCTCCAATTTGTCCTTGTCATTCTACTTTTTTTGAAAATTCCTCAAGGAAAAGCTCACTCCTTCACCCCTCTGCTTTTTCACAGAACACCTTCGATAGATTTTATTAAAGAAATAAAATTCACATGCTCTAAGTTCCACTCACAAATTCAGCTATCATCTCTATTTTAACAATTGCCTGATGGATCTTTCACCCAATTTGAAACACACACTTTCCTGAGACTTTCCTCACTTTTAGAAATTATCATTTCAGAAAATAATCACTATTTTACTTGTCATTTCTCACATTTAATTTTTGCTCTCCAAATACAGGCTACAACCAGGTGTTACATGTTCACACTTCCCTGTTTCGGCTAGACAACCTAATGCACTCATCCTATTGTTGGTTAATGTAACATTACAGCTCATACCAGTACATTTATGACTAGAAATATGATTAGATTATACTGCTACTTAATCTAACCAACATAACTATTTTCCAGCTGTTTTGTTTCTCCATTTCTGTGCCTGAATCCATGTTTTCTACAACAGAGTTCTTGGGGAAGAAGTCTTTTTTTGCTCCATGTTTATACACCTGAGCATAGCAGGATCCTAGTCAACAAATAACACCCCTGTGATCTGTCGTGGTGCAAATAAATTACTACTTCTGCTTACCCTCACAGCTGTGCAAGCCAGTTTGCATGTAACAGAAGACTCATCTTTCAGCGTTCTCTGTAACAGAGGTATGCAGTCTACCAAGGAAAAGAGATTTCCTAACAAAAAAAGAATTTAGAGCAATGAAACAAGAGAAAATTTTGGTTGCGTTAAAAAAAGACACCCTTAAAATAAATTGTTACCTGTTGAGCTTCTGACATGTATTAGCCATTTTTCCACATCAAAGCGGGATTTAATTAGAATGGAGTTGACAATTGTTCCACACAGAATGGCAGTAGCTCCTCGAATCTGGGGATCTCCATGGTCAATGTAGTTCAGAATATCTGATACATACTGCTCCTCTATGAAAGTAAGTTACAACTACTTTATTTTAAAAATACTAGTCTTAGTCTTAACTGATCCCTAAAAATGTTTCAGTGGAGGTACTAATTATTGTACAATCAATGTCAACATATTCACAATGCGCCGGCCTTAGTTCTACCTTTCAGAAATCCCTTGCATGTAATCTACAGATCATTCACACCATCCAGACCAATGATCACATATTAATGATTTATTTCAATTGTACACAAAGTGCTCTGGGGAAATTTAAGAGTTTTGGTCAACATTCCACCTTTGCCACTATCAGTATCAAACCAGTTGAATACTCCAGGTCCCTGCTGATCATATTCCAGCATTCATAAAAATGAACCTAATAGCTTAGAAACCATCTAGAAGATGGCCCGAAATAAATTAGAAGAAACCATTTATAAGATAAACAAACCACCCCTATACAGCAGTTTTACTAAAACAGGTTCAACTTGTCAGAAGCTGTACAAGCTCATCCACTGAAACTTAACTCTTACTACAAAAAAAATCTCACCATATGTGCTAGTAGCACAGGCAGCATGTTCATTCCAACTGGTGCAGCCTTCGTTTGCCAATACTGAACTGGATTTAGAGGTTTCACTATAGATGCTGCCTCACTTATTCGAAAACCCAAACACACTATTAAAATGGAATATGTGAAGTGCAACATACCATACTCTTCTCCCATTGCTTCAAGGGGTGTTTTATACAGTTTGCTGAAGAAAGACTCAGGATGAAGCGCAATGGCTGCTCCAACACAACTTACTGCCAAGGCTTTTACACTGACTCTCACATCTCTATCAGGAACTAAAGCTGGGGAGAAGGAAAAAAAAAGGGGGGGGTGTATTTAAAAGCTTCCTGAATTGAGTTAATTAATAACTCTGTGTGATATAAATAGCTTAGCCTGGACAAAAAAATATGAAGGCAGAGCAAGTAGTTCCAGTTTATCAGAGGCAGCAGTTATACACAGCTTTTTTTGTTTCAAAAAAGAAAAGAGATAAATAACTAATAACCCCACACACTCACTTCCTTCATTGCTGAGAATACAGCTACTACACTGTCTTTCCAAGAATACTACATGAGCAGACCACATGAACAAATAAGTTTAGAAAAGGGGAAAAGAATGAATATCTTAAATGCTCACTTCAGCCATACATATAATGACAGATACACACATGCCTGTGACATGGACTTCCCAGTGAAAAAAATGGAAGCAGCAGTGTATGCCATAAAGGCTTTCTACAAAACCCCTACTAAAGTTTTATTACTATGCTGAAAAGGTAAATAACTCCTCTTTTGTGCCCCAACAGCCTCCTCTAACAATCACTTACTGTCAAAATGCTTCTCTTTGACAGTCACACATGAAAAAACACATGAAAAATGGCCACACTAACTGACGCAAATACTATAAGATGTTAAAAGAGGAGAAAAAAGTTCAACTTGAGATTTCAGCTATGTCTTTGAAAACCTTAGGTCAATTCTCTGCTTTACTACAGCTGAATCATTTAAAAACTGAAGTTACATTTCCCAAACACATATGGATACAACAGCACTTCCTCTACCTGAAGTACATTCAAAAACATTAATACAGAATTCAAACACAACCGAGTGATAAAGCTAAAAGAGATACTTTTAATCTTGTTTTAATTAAAACAAATTAGGCATTGTAAACAAAATCAACTGTAAAAATATTAGAACTATATTCTTCTGAACTTGTTTTTAGGAGTTTCCACAGAAGGGACTGCAACTCACAAAACAGTTTCCTTACTGAGGTATTGATACTTTTCCCATGGACAAACTGGGTACCCAACACTGATAAAAAGAAATACTGATATTAGATTGTCTTCGTAGCTTCATATAATCTATAAACCATCATGGCCCCACAGGTTAAGTCTCATGAGAACTTACAAATTGTAAACGCGACTAAGTATTTGACTTATGGGTTAAGTTACCATAACACTTCTTTAGACACCCAATGGTTCAAAACAGGATTAATTGTAAAATGGCATAAATTTTTAAGTGTTTTTAGGTTTTCTTCTGTACTCTGGTGTGATCATTTAGATCAGGACTGTCACAGAAAAACCCCACCCCTGAAAACTCCAATAAAGTGAGATTAAAAACCAGATAAACTGATCACATTTCCAACCTTGTACGTTGAGAGACACAATGAACCAATGAGTCTTGAACAGAAACTTACCTCCTTTCTCCCCAGTAAGTAGAAAAGAGGCTGACAGAAGTCTAACGCAGTGCACTAAAGGCGCAGAATTTCCATCGGTATAGTGACCTATGTCTCCCTTTACCCTGGAGGGCTATTGAAGGCAAATAACAAATTTCGTAGAGATAAAAATTAATCTTCAATTTAAATAAAGTATTAAGCACAACAAGATTTGGAAATACTGCACATCCCCAAATGTATAAAGGTTGTAATATAAAATGCGTTTAATACATACTCCAAAAAAAGGCTTTTGAATGTAATGCTTTCGGGAAGTTTGTATCCAGTGTCAGAATTGGTTTAATTTTATCACAGAAGCAACAATCATTCTGTAGATTTTCTGAATTACCTAGACTTGCTGTTTGCATCTGAAGGAGTCTGATAAACCACTTTTTGTCACCAAACAATGATCTTAGGAATTAATTACTTCTCATACAAAGTTTCCAAAGTTGTTTCCGAAGAAGGCTGACCTTCTGTAGTTTCACATTTGGAGTTCCCCAGTAACCCAAGCTGATCTAACTCTGCCTGCCACAAACCAAACTCCTCTTGCCCCAGCTGAGAACAAGGTCCAAAGCTAAAGTCAAAAACCATAAGAGGAAATCAGTAACCTGTGGTTAGAATGGCATGAGCTTCTCCGCAGAAAGAGAGGCTCAAAGAGTAAGACATAGTAACTTCTGAGGAGATCATAAAGTTACCTACACAGCTAGCAACGTACCCTACTAATGCACAGACAAAAGGGGGTTGTATTCTCAGCAGTTTGTATTCTGTTATGGTTTTGCTGGTAATTGCATTCAAGATATCAACATTTGTGTATTCACCTTATGTTAAATGAAATTCAGGCTGTAACTCAGATTTACTATTCAACCTTAAGTTATTTTGACCTATAATGAAGCACACCACATATGCAGGCTACCCACATTTACCACTAATTTACATGATCATAACTGTAATTATTTTTTTTTCAAACTTAGTTGTTTTAAATTTTAAATGAGACCCTTTGACTACTTCTCACCTTATTTTCATGATCACCAGGATCTGCTGCATCTTCTTTTGATGTAAATCTATCTACGCTGCTATCAGAAGGCTGCCTACTATGGCTTATGGTTTTCAACAGGTGAGGCTGTTGAAGAGCTTTAGAAAGAGGCAATTCATTAAATACCATTTCAGATGCAAATTAAAAGCACTTTAACTGAACTTAATCACACAAACATGAAAAATAAATTAGCAGTGATCAAAACAAGTGATTCACTAGAAGTGTTGAAATGTATTCCTTATTTTACATTTCAATCTAGTTATTTGTTTTTCATATCCATTACATGAGACTTCGGCGCCTTGGAAGTTAAAGTGGTTAAACATTGGAACAGGCTGCCCAGGGAAGTGGTTGAGTCACCGTCCCTGGAGGTATTTAAAAGACGGGTAGATGAGGCGCTTAGGGACATGGTTTAGTGGGCATGGTGGTGTTGGGTTGATGGTTGGACTCGATCTTAGAGGTCTTTTCCAACCTTAATGATTCTATGATTCTAAGTTAGACAGCAGATGCACCTGTAACACCTGTCTTAAAGGTGTCACCAGTTCTGGTAGCGCGCACACACACACACACCCGCCCCACATTTATCAACATACCAATAGAAGAATTTCTGAAAGACTCTGATGAATCATCTTGGAGAATATTTGCAGCCTCATCTTCCTCATCCTGCAGCTGCCCAATTTGCATTCCAGAATACTGTCCTTCAGCACTCTCCAAAACCTACACAGTACAAGGACAGGACTTAAAATAACTTAGCTTAACACACAGTATTAAATCGCAAACATGCGGTGTTAGTAATCTAGAAATAATTTGAAAGCAAATATGAGCCTGATAAACATTAGTGTACAGCTGCGTGCAGGCCACAAAGCAGTTCCCTCCTCCTCCAGCATTTGGGCTAGAGGCCATAGCTACATCTGACAGTCTCCCACTTGAGCCATGAACTTCGACATTAACAGTAAGAAAGTCGAACACTTAGTGCATTGCTTCTGCTGCAGCTCTCCTTGCTCCCTTATTCCAAACACTATCTCTCTATTTCAGCAGTCACAAATCACAACCAACACCTTTACTGTCACAAATTGAACTTGTCCATTGCTGTCAAACTCTCCCATAATCTCACTTGTCCTGGATATGTAAAGGCGAACTGAGAAAACACTGTGTAGGACAAAAAAGGACAAATAAGTTTGAACATATTTTAATTCCTTCATTTGAAACCAGAGACTACCAAAATGGACACTTCTAGAAGAGTTTGACCCTTGGTACCAATGCAATATATAGGCAGTAGGTATATGGAAAAAAAACCATAAAAGACAAAAAAATTGGTAACGTTAATAAAAGACAGTAAAAAGCATTTCATTGTAAGTTTATCAGAAGACAAGATACTTCTTCAGTTACTCCCTGACTTTATAAGCAGCTGGAAATTGTTCATTAAAAAGCCCGCGTGTGGGTAAGTGGGACAACCACTTGCCTGTCAATTAGGAAAAAATAGTTTTATTCGTAATTACTGCTTGTAAACAGTATGCAAACTGGCATACGCAACAGTCTGACAAGAATTTGCAAGAAATGCATCTTGTCAATAAACAATTTGTCAATAAATGCCTGCTCACTTTGAGCTCTGCACTGTCTACATTTAATTCAGACACAGTGCAATTATCATCACTCCTTTGGTTCTTGAATCCTCACACTTGCAAGAATATTTGCATATCAACTGTAAATTTACCATTTTTTATAGTGGTAAGAGACTATTACTTTTCCAAAGTTACTATCAGCAGACATAAGTCAAAAGTTTGATAATGTTTGAAAAAAGAACTTAAGAAATTCTAAGTTTTCCCTTTTTTTGCATTTTCTGCTCTTGCTCCCAGTAATTATATTTTTGCTGTTTTTATTACAACCTCACAATACACCTGCCTAAGACAGACAAACTTCTTAAAACAGCTATATTGTATACACATTTCAGGTGCTTATTAGATATGTAACTGCTACATTAGTAAATCATGCAGTATTTGCTCAGTATAGGAGAAATCCTTAAGATGGAATAAAAAGGAAAAAAATGAGTTGTGTTGCCAAGTGAAAAAGCACAGGCAGAAAACAATGTGAAGCATTAGGTTTCAAAAGTAGTCCTCTATCATTCCAAATAGACTGTTCACCCTTTAACACTTCCATTAGTCCTCCTGCATCAAAACAATTAAAACACCTATACAAAATAAATGATATTCTACTAAGAGGATATATTTATGTCAAGACTTTGACATTGACATTCTTCCAGTGAGTGACAACCTGTTAATGCCTTCATATGACCTACCCCGTGAACACACTGGTTACAGCTTTGTAGTTTTTATTTACTGCTGAAGTGAAAGTGTTAAAAGGAGGTCAAGCTCTCCAATAGAGGTGTGAGCTGCTGACCTTTCCATTGTTACTAGCTGAGGATGGAAAAGTAGAAGACGAGTAAGTAGATGAATCCAAGTCTGGGCCCTCCATGGAAGAGCTCTGAGATATGTCGGGCCCCTCAGTAGAAGGGGATCCCCCCTCTGCCCGTTGCACACTTACAATTTCAGAACTGTCCGAAGGGGTTACAGCAGAGTCTGGACCTTCTGTAGTAGTCTGAGAGCTATCACTAATTGGTGAGGAAGCCTGTGTACCATCATTCAAGTCCATAGTGGGATCTGACTGGACAGCACTGATCTGGCTGGAGCTTCGACTAAGCACATCATCTTCTTCCCCTTCAGCAGCTGTACTTGTCAAATCACAGCTTGTCAGGTCTACAGAGTCTGACTGCAACGTATGTTGAGAACGTGGCTGCTCAGTAATGATATCATGTCCGGTAGAATCAGCAGCTGAACTCCCTACTGACCCAGCTGTCGATACACCTGATGAAGAAGCTAGTTCACCGCTTATCTCGCCCTTCATAGAAGCTGCAAAACACAAACATTTATGAGTCAATCAAGCATTTAAACTTGTGTTTCACTCTTGATATGGACACCACATACTAAGCCACATATTAAACTAGGCTGAGGAAAGAGTATAACTAAGCAATTAAACTACAGTTAGGGAAATAAGCATCTGTAAGATGCCATTCCATCTATACCAGTAGCTCAATATGACAGCCTATCCATTAAAAACCAAAAATGCAGTCAACTTCATTAGGTAAGTGTAAGTTTTATACCCAGGAGTATTTATGGTTTCAGTTTTGTTAGCATGTCTTTTGAGTGCCCATCCACTTCCTAGTCACCATAACACATCACTTGTATATTTCACATAAAGCAATAAAAGAATGGATTTGTAATGTATAGTAACACAGGTTGATTGCACTGCTAAAGGGAAAGCCAGCTACCTGCAAATGATGCAGCGCTGACATCTGATCGGGTTTCAGGATCATCCTCCAAACCTTCTTCTTCACCAAGAAGTATTTTACCTGAGACATGATATAAGAAAAACCTTTACAGTTTTCCAAAACTACAGTCAACTTGAAGTGCTGAACAGTTGAAGTCAGTCAGATGTGAAGTCTATTTTTAAAAAGCTTATCCAAATCATTTTTCAAAGCTATGACAGGCAACAGATGGAAAAGAAAAAGGAATGAAGAAAGTGAATATCCAGTCCCTCACTATCTAATCAGGAGAGAAACAGACAGCAGTGACAAGGAAACACACAGTTAAGTAATTTTATTTAACAGTGTAAACATTCAGAAAACTACTTATGACCTTATTCATTCTAGTTTATTTTTGTGGACTATGTTTAAGACCCCACTAATTTTGCCAAGTATGTCCTGTTACTAAGGACTGGATACCTCGCATCTGGATATCTGCCCTCAGCTCAGAAGGACATTAAAGCACCACAAGTAATAGAGTAAACAACCTCTCCCTCCTTAAGGCTATGAAAACTATCAAAGGCTACTTGCAGTTTGGGGCTTGGAACTCCAGTGATAACAGTATGGAAAATGCCTAGGGGGAAGAGTAGCACAGGCTAGAAGCACAAGACCACTCAAGTGGGACAGGGTGATCAACCATGGACAACAGCCATTAAGATCCAGGGACTACTAAGGCAAAAATCTTCAGAGAGGCTTTTGCCATAGGAAAAATGGGAACCACTTATAACCTAACACAATCATCATAGAGTTCTCTTGCTCACAGAGTAATGTTTACTTTAAATAGAGGCAGTGGAAAGACACCTGCAGATGCATGCTGCCTGGGAGTGAACCAAGGACATAACTGCACTGAAAAGTCTGTAAATGGGACAGGATACAGAGCGCAGAGGGAGCTACTGAGCCCATCCTTCTGGATCTTGCAAGTCACTTGCTGAGACAGAGGGATCCACTACAACTGCTTTGAGATAAGCCTGTTCTGCCATTTAGAATAAGCTTCACTGGTAGTCTAAGATTCACCATGCAAGATATCAATGTTTTGATAACTCTAGGTGAATTCTTTTGCATCTCATTTAAAGTTGTTAATGCTTTTTTACCACCGGCAGACTTTTGTATTAGTTTCCCTATCACAACTGCTTTCATACATATCAGTAACACTGTAGAATTGTCTTCCCCCAAAAAGTATGTTTTATGCTATTCAAACCCAGAAGGTTTCTGCCAGAAGGCAGAAAAGAAACCATGACATATCCATGTATGTTCTATGTAAAATAACAGTAACTAATTGAGAACTACACACTCCTGCGAAAGAATGAGTAAAATCCTGCTAAGAGTTCCCAACAAAAAGCATGAAAGATAGTATATTCTTCTCTATTCTTTCTCACATTTATATCCATTTCACTGAAACAAACCAGGATATTCTGCTTTCCACAGCTGATCACCTTTAAAAGTAAGTGAGAGAGGAAGGACACTGAAAAACACTTATTAGGCATATTAGGCTTTGTACATTTAAATGAGTATATAAAACAAGCTGCAGGACATTTTTCCACTATTTGGAAAAAAAATTCAATTAAGATGCAGAACATAGGCTTTCATTTTGAAATGAGTTTTCAGCCTTTTTTGCAAGTAATTTTCTGAAGCTGCAACATAAACAAACCAACATAGGCCAGCTGCTCAAAACTAAAGTTGGTCTGAAGCAGTAAGACTGGAAAGACATGGAATAGCCGAGTTCTGAGATTAGAGTCACAGATTTCTGTAGATCAGCCTCACTTTACACCCCTACACACAAAGGAGTATTACAGCTAGAGAAGTTTCACCCACGGCCAACAGCAGAAGCCTACTACTCTATATGGTAGTAGACTGCAAAACGACTTCAAGTAGGAACTGGGAATAGGCTTGATTTTTCCCTCCTTTCTACAATGTAGAGCAGCAGGAAATGAACAATTCACAATTTGAAATTAAACCTGTATAAAACAAAATCATGAACAGATTTCTTCAAATTTGTTTATGCCATTTTTTTAGACCACAAAATCTTCATACCATGATCTTGAAAGAGGATGGAAACTGATGACTCATACATGTTTTCCAACTGAGTGAAGGAAAGGTTAGTGTTTTAAGAAGTACTTCAACTGAATTTACACTATTATTAATACTTCAAAGTTACACTGAAGACTACTAACAATTCCAAGTATCAAAATGATGATTTACCATTTTTCATTTAAAAGTGTTATGTGTTGTTACTCTGATTTGTTGCATTCTGCCTCACCTTTGGATGCTGCAGCAATATCTACTTTCAGGACATCCTTTCTTTCACTCTATTGTTTCTAAACTAGAAATTATCACTGCATCCGTAAGCACTATTTCATTCAGCTCTACCCACTATTTCACATTTAGGTATATTCTTAAAGCATACAGAAATATTCTTTAAGCATTATGGGATTCCTTGCACACAAAAATGGGAGGGCGTATGTCCTGGTTTCGGCTGGGATAGTGTTAATTTTCTCCCTAGCAGTTGGCATAGTGCTGCGTTTTGGATTTAGCACGAGAATAATGTGATAACACACTGATGTTTTAGTTGTTGCTAAGCAGTGTTTATACTAAGTCAAGGACTTTTCAGCTTCCCATACTCTGCCAGCAAGGGGGGTGTACAAGAAGCTGGGAGGGGGCACGGCCAGGACAGCTGACCCAAACTGGCCAAAGGGATATTCCACACCATATGATGTCATGCTCAGTATATAAGCTGGGGGGCATCAGCTAGGGGGCAGTGATTGCTGCTCAGGGACTGGCTGGGCATCGGTCAGCAGGTGGTGAGCAGTTGCATCACTTGTTTTTTTGGTTCTCTGCCTTCCCCCCCCCCTTTTTTGTTTCTTTCTCTTCTTGTTTTACTTTCCATACAATTTATTATTGTTATTCTATTATTTCAAGTATTACACTGTTCTTAGCCCACAAGTTCTTACTTTTGCTCTCCCAATTCTCTCCCCCATCCCATCGGGGGGAAGGGTGAATGAACCACTGTGTGGTGTTTAGTTGCCACCTGGGGTTAAACCACAACAACATATTTGGAAAAAGTGTAGGCTAGTTGCTATAATGGTCCTTAAAAGTTTGTATAATCTTAGTCTTAAACTATTTTTCCTTGAAGTTTTTTCTTTTCAGTATTGCACATCTCTCTGCTTACTATGCTTGCACTGACTGCACTACACTCACACATAGTTCCACTGCAGTAGCAAGATTTTGCTCACCTAAAACAGGACGTGAAACTGTTACACAGCTGTATCTAGAGTGATTCTAGTACCAATATATGACTGGTTTTAAGCAAAGTGTAAACATATAACTAGGTATGAAGTACTTCCATGCACAAACTGGGAAAATAATATTTCAGAGCAAATTGTATTATTTAAAATCCTGCTAAATGAATTATCTATTGAAGAAATGAAAATATACACAGTAAGACACAAAATGAATAGCATTAATCAAGAACAGAAAAAGAAATAAAAAAGCATCATATCAAAGCATGCAAACATACACATGTATTAGTGAAAGAAGAAAAAAAACCCCAGGCCTAACAAAACCAGGAAGGTTAACTATTTTGTGAGTTTCATTAAAGGTTAAGTATTACCATCAAAAGGAAGAATGCCCTGTTCCAAGAGATTATTTTTAGATATGCTGTTTAAAAGTGAAAATTGCATCAATATTCATCACCATAATTTTGCCAGTGAACTACAGCAAAAATAAGAATTATACTGTTTTGAATAATTTTAGAATATGTTGATTGCAATATCAGAAATCACAGTTCTTTTAAGATTTACAGTGATTAAGCTCAGCTGATAACAAAGGCAATTGTGAATGAAGACTGAAGTTCAGCAAGACAATGAAGTAGGGAGAGGGAAGAAAAAAAACCAAAAAAATCAGAAAGGAATGCAATTGAAGATTTGTTTTTGAAAATAATCACCTTTATGCTTTCTCGCAAGAACAGGGCTGCATGAAGACCCCCCTCCAGCTGCAAATCACAGAAAGTAACACATCAGGGCAAAGACAGAGCTGCTGAAACCATGAAGGAATTCTAATAGCCACAAATGGGAAGAAAAAAAGCCCAAAGCCAGGAAGAAATAGCAAACTTGTTGCTTGAAGTCCAAGTTTTTTGGATTATTTGCCTTCAAATTATTTTTATTTTTCTATGCCACTTGTGCAAAGTTTGCCTTTAAAAAGATATGCTCTAAATTTCACTGCTATAATTGTTTCCGGCTAATGAATTACCTTCTAACAGCAGCAATATTAGAATGATCCATTAGTTCAATATAGAAGTCCTTACAAAAATCCAATCAGAGATTGATTCTTTTGAAACAGGTAAGCAGCAGTTAAGAGACAATTTTAAGAACATGCACTTCACAGACAAGAACACTGACAGCCAATTTTAAAAGTTATGGAAAAAGTTATGGAAAAACTTAAGTCATGCTTTAATTTCATGCTGGTTTTGGTATTCAGCAAGGAGCTAACAGTTAATATAAATTCTGATTAGATCAGCTTCTTATGAATCACAGTTGTCAGATGCTTGGTGAGAAGAACATTAATTTTGTGGGGGGAGGGAAAAAAAAATCCATCACCACAGTTAACTTGCTCTGCATAACCAAAAAAACCTATCAACACAAACTGTAAAAAAAAAAAAATACTCTGAGTTTGTCACTATTCCATGAAGGTATACCCACTTAAAGAAGGGAGGGGAAAACACTTTTACTGTACCGGGGGGTACAGTAAAACCGGGGCGGGGGGGGGCAGGGCGGGCAGGAAAGTCATGCTAAATTTACACATTTCATTTTACCCTTCATACTTT